GATATTTCTGAACACACACACACACACGTACGGTGTTGGCGATAGGTATTCGCAATCTTCAGTTTGTCGCGCATTTTTTGGACGCCCCAAGTAGACGTAGGTATAATATAATACTTGCGCGAATACAATATAATGTGCTATGTTTGGATTGTGAAACTTTGACGAGGTACCCGTTGAAAGTGTAGAAACCGGTGGCGGCCCGACTGTGGTTGGGATGTTGCGCAAAGTCCTCGGCTTCTGGTCAGAAACATAAAGCCCGTGACCTCGTTCGCCTTCCGAGTGTCGCACAGCCGGCATTAACAATATATTATACAAATATTACTATTGGTGTGATCCTTCACGTTTGCAGGTCGTTAACCGTAATAACGTACGGTAGGCAAGTATAATCCGCACACGACGATCGCCGTTCACTTATGACGTATAAATTATAATATAGCTTAAATAAAAAATAAAAATGCACATAGTACCTATTTATGCAATGCAATTAACCGGGCCAGATCGTTCGCCGAAAACCGGCAAGGACTAAACGTTATTGTTTTCCGGGATGATCCGGTGAAAATAATAATTTGTACCTATTTGAAAACAATAGGAGAAACTGGCCACACACCGTGGCGAAGAACACGAATCGAACCGATCCTTGACACGCATTAACGCGTTTTGATGATACCGAACAAAAAAAACAAAAAAAAAACGATTGCGACTTAGTCGATAATAACTATTACAATTATTTTGGGGTGTCCTTTTTCACTTGTTTTTTTTTTTTTTGGCCATACACCAGTCCCAATGGATTTACAATCTCATGCCGTCACAAGGTCTCCCCGACGTTTTGTGTGTATGTTTCTTTTTATACAATCAATATTATACTACGCGTTGCCTTCTAATAATCTCACTCACTCTCTTTTAGGTCGCCTGGTCATCGTGACGGCTGTGCGACCGTTGAACATTTTCGTTTCGATTAACATACAAGGAAACCACGCCGACGAACTTCCTTAAGTCCGCACGACCTACCTACCGGCGACAGCGACAACAATATTATATGCTGTCGTCGAGCGCAATCCTGAAAAATCGTTGTGTGTAAATCATTCAAATTACCCCGCGGTAATACACAAAGCCTCAGTAGTTGCATCACAGTAGCATTCGCCAAAACTTGGTCTGGTGCAAAATTAATCTTCCTCGTTACCAACACGAATAATCTCCCTCCTCTCTTTCAGAGCAAATAACATATCAGGAAACTGCCACGGGAAGATGGGTCAATTAAGTTTCGGTTGCCGTGAACACAATTGGTTTATAGCCGACTTAACTCTTCGGTCAGTGATAAGTGTTCAACAGCCGCGTGTCCTGCTAATTATGAAACCGCTACTTGATCACACGCTTTTTTACAGCGCGCTGCCGGGAAGTCATCTGTAGCCGGTTAGACTGGTCGATTAAAAAGTTTGAAGTGACAAAACATCTTTACGTCGAGACTTGTATAACGTGCGAGACTGTTTGTCCGAGTTCGTTTTGATTTAAAACGACGACACCTCCACACAGAAGTGGCTGCCAAACCGGCTGTAAATATATATCTAAAAAATTATTCAAAAACTAGTAAACACTTTCCACTACTATCAAGAAAAAATATCAACTCGCTTTTATCGTAGGAAAATGACAAAAAAAAAACACAAACTATTGAGATATTTTAAAATTTGTGATTTTCCAAAAAGCGATTAAAGTTAAATAGATATTTACTAACACCTACACCTGCCTCTTTCGTCCCCTATACTAATAAACCAACCAACTCCAGTCACTTATCCAAAACTGGTATTCGGCCAATCGACTTTTTAAGAAAAGCTATACTCTTTAAGACCTTTCAATATTAATAACAACAAATATGTGCATCTAATAGTATAGGTTAAGTATAATGTAACATTTGTATAGTTTATACATTTTATTTGAACCATAGATAAAAAATGGTCAATGTTAAGAAAAAATTTGCTAAACTATACTATACAATATGTAAGTTATGAAAGTATGATACTGGCATGCTCGACCTGACACAAGTCAGCTCATTACAAGATCATGCGTCTACCAATGAATTCAGTGATGTAAAGTACATATTTGTGAAAACAAGCAGCAACTAAAAACGCGTCAGGTTAACTTTGCTTTTTAGAGAATCTCTAGACATCATGACTTTGACTACAGGTAACATGTTGGTAACGGGGCAACAGCTGTCTAAAGTAAAGGATTATCGATTTTGTTTTGACGCAAAACGTCCGTTAAGTCATTGCTATAACATCAAACTCTCATTCATCATTTATCACCGGCCAGTCCGATGGATATCGATCGAGTTTGCGCGTGCGCTACTGTGACGTCAATTTGATTTCAGGTTTAATAACCCAAGCCGAGTTCGTAAAAATGTCGTGTAACGGTCTACACGCTAAGCCAAAGTGTTTATATATTTTTACTTGCCATTCCTCTTTCGAATCTGAAATAGATCAACGAAAGCATATTGCGGATGTAATAAAGTGTATTTTTTACGGGAAAAACATACAGGGTACATCTCGACTTTAAGTACATTATTATCCGTTCCAATTATATCACGAATATATAATGTGATTTTACAATGTAGTGCACAATTATTATCATACACCGTTGCATAACTATACAAGGCAAAGAAAAAACTTGTTTTTTTTTCACTTTGAGAAATTACTCCGCGGTATGATCACGTTTTACGGCCATTTACAGCTATAAACATATTATTAGGTATAACATATTGAAATAGCGGAAAAAACATGTACACTGTTAAATAATGAATAGCTAAACAAATTAATTGTTGTAAAATCAACATCAACGAAATCGCCCATCGCTAGCTGACAGCTGAGTTAATTCAATTTAACTTGAAACTGTTAAGTTAAGGAATATCGTGTAATATCTTGTCGTGGTTCTTATGAACCTAAGCGAAAATTATTGTGCTCTACTCGATTGTTGAGCACACCAATGCGCACTAAAGTGCGTCAAATATATATATATATATATATATGAATGGTTTACCTTTGACAAAGAAACATTTTGAAAATGACACTTTGCCAGTATATTGTTGTATTACATAAACGTGCGCTCGTGCTGTGCTTTCGGTTACGATTAGCCAACGTTTTATATTTGGACGTTATAATTACATAGTCGTTGCCGTATCTTTATTGAGAATTCGCCAATGTCGTTACAAGTTAAATAGGAACTAAAAAACGAATATACCACTAATTAAATTTTCATGATATGTGTTAACTTCTTGTTTTACTATTTTGTTTTGTATCAAAGCTAACACGGTCTGCCGTTATTATAACGATTAATTACTCTTCCTGGTTGTTTCCTAGAACATTTTTTAAGATTTAATTTATTTTTTAAAACACGTTATTGTAAAACTCAATGCTACGCGTCGAAGCTAAAAAAATGTATGCACCTACTCTTTTATATTACTAGTGTCCCGATTGTCAATTTTAATACCTTTTTTTTATTGTATTGTTGTTGTTATTAGCATATTTAAATTGTCAAGTTTACCACACGTCGTAAAATATTTTACTATTGATTGCCAAGCCATAACATTTGTGTTTATAATAATTTAAAGGCTACAATAAACCCCAATAATAGTGCGCATACGTTTATTAAGCAACTGATTTACATTATCGCTTAAACGTTCAGTGTTATTTAATTTAAACGTTTACACAATCACAACTTTGACGAGCTTTAGATAAAACTTGACTAAATATTTCAAGTTATCGACATTTCAAAAATGTGTATACTTCATCGAAACGTGAGGTCTGAAAGTACGATAAAACTGACAGCTGATATCCGTATCAGTTGCACCGGACAACAACATTGAAAATATGTTTTGATCACGTTGTCACCGTTCGTTTGCTCTAACCGATAATAATGCGACCACAGCAATTATTCCTATCGTAATGCAATCCCTAAACCGCAAACGCACAGAAGTAAAATATAATATCAAATAACGGTGAACAATCTAAATCAAAATTTCAATGTCTACCTTCGCCAAATGATACCTTCCCGGTCGGGTGGTAGGCGTAGGTACAATGAAAACAAGTAATTAAATTAAATATCGACTAGTCAGCGTTCCGTTCAAGGGCATGTATGGCTGGTATGTAGATCTCGCAAAGTCTATATATAGACCTGTGTGTTAATCTGGAACCCTTTGTTCTGTTGACAACTTTTAACTGGGAAAATAATTGAATTTCTCTACACAATACAGCTACATAACTAATAACAAGAATTATTTTTTTTTTCATTATTTACCAGGGATGGATAAAGGGAGAATGGTTACATTGGCTACTGCGCTAAGAATTGTACATTAGTCTCATTCGTTAGATTCAATAATTTCAAAAAACTTCCTATCAATAGAAGACTGAAATAAAAAAAATGTGCAAAGTGCCTTTGGTCCGCCATGTTGCTGTTAATTACTTCCTCGGACATTTTTTTTTTTAATCTCGACCGCAATGACCCCAAGAACGAGCGGTTAGGTGTTGGCTATTACTTATTAAATTAGTTTTATTACCATCGGACGAGTGGGTAGAAAGTTTAACATTCAAAGGATCTATACCAGGTAGGTATAAACGGTAACAGTATAGCCCATTCGGCTATGATATTAATAATAATAATCATTATCGACTGGGTGTATGAACTCGGTTATCGAACCGCTTCGAAGGGAAGCTTTATCGCGATAGCTAATTAATAAACGCGTTCTATATAATATAATGTGTGTATTGATAGGTGCAAATATACAAATGGATCTAGGTTAGGTCATCGGCATCGACACCATTGTATTGTTAACGCATGTACGGTGAAATGATTTAATGGTCGAACAACGATCGACAAATTAATTAACCTACAACAACGTCTTCTGCCGGCGCGGGGTTCAATAGTACTTGTAATCGTGTGCACTTAACATAATGTTCACACCGTTTCATTGCTGTATACGTTTAAAGCGATAACAATAATTTATAATAATATACCTTGATTTTGTGTATGTCGATGATCGTCGTGTGTTCGGCGGCTATAGATGATGCATCTATCCGAAAACGTTTGATCGCGTTTTCCCGTCGTCCGTCACGAGTCGTTGACACGAATAATAATAATAATAGTTTTGTCTTTGTTGTTTTTTTTTTTTAAACAATAATACAACGTGTATAAAATATAAGTATTCTATAATACCTAATTTATATATATATGTTTTTTTAAATTAATTTTATTTAATACGGTATATTTTTTTTTATTTGATTTTAACGATCACGGTACTCGCTTCGATCCGGCTCGACACCTCTATATTTTGTAGTTTCGTCGTGTCGACGGTATCTCGAGACTGGTCGGGGAGCGAAAACTTATACTACTATCGAGGGGAAGAAAAATACACCGATATTGTTTCTGCGGTACTCGTGTAACATTCGCAAAACGACAGGGCACACGAATTTTGTAAACACACGCTCACTCGCAAAGTCACACGGTGTTGGACGCGGGCACCGGGCGATTCGGCGAGCCGCTCGATTCAGACTGCGCGAGGTGGCCCGGTAGAAGAGTGCCGTCGCCGGTCGCCTCTGTGTGTATGTGTGTTATGCCCGCTGTTTCCCGTCGCCATGGTTACCGGTGCGCCCGGTCGTATCATATGAGATGATACAATTTTTTTGGTCTAACTGGCCAGTCGCTTTCTGTCGCCCCCGTACGCGAGTGTTACACTTAAATATAGTATTGATAACGCCGCAATAATAATATCAACCGCTATATAATATAATAAAATACGACGGCAGTAGTTGTTGACTAATAACCGAGATAGGAATCATTGGCGGATTTTACAGAGCAAAATCGTACACATCCGGAATGGACCTGTCATACTAGTCAACCGATATGACTAAAATGACAAACCGATTCGTAGAAAATAGTTAAAAATGTATATGTTTTGTAAAATAAAACTTAGCTGGTAAGTTCTACCCCTGTTATAAGCACGTCGTGTTATAATCTACTTATACACCATCTCTATGTTTCCTATACAAAATTATGAGAATTTCATTGGAAGTTTAACAGGAAATATTAAAAATAATAATTTATTATTCTGTCGACGTTTTAAAACTTTAATCGATTATTATTCATCATAATATCACAAAGTACATTTTACCTATTATAAATGGCAATCATTAATATTTATAAGCATGGACATAATAACATTACTTTTAAATTTCACTTATTGAGTTTGCCAAAAGGTCATACATTTTATCATTTTTCAATTACAGTATTCATACCAGGGTTATTGTATGTAAAATCATCAAAACAGTTTTCTCAAAAAATCTCCATCATCAATGTGCGATTTGGTCAGACTACATTTTTTATGATTAACTAACTACCCGTTATTCTTCCATATATTTTTTATACTCTGATTAATAATCTTACTTTACAGATAATATAAATTAAAACATTAGGATGTTGGGCTTCTGTGTGAAGATTAGAAGGTATTGTTTTACAATGATGTATATTTATTTTAATTATTTTTACTGTCTGGACTTACGATTCTCCTAAACTACGGTCTTATGTTTTTCATGTAGCAAGTGTCTAGATCAGATATCATACTGAAAGTTACTTTATTAGGCAAATAATTTGAAGAGTTCAGCTGTACTCCTTTTAAATCGTGGGAAAGCACCCAAATATATACATATTGAAAAATAGATTAAAACAAAATTATATATAGGTAGATAGATAGATAGACAGAACATAGAAGATTAGAAATCTAGTTTATTATTTACATTTGTCACAAGGTCTGAAATATGGTGTAGGGATATCATTATACAGATGTAATCTCTGACAGTGTATACAATTTGTCGAAAGCATTAGTTAATATTATATTATAATTAATGATTTAAATATCAATGGCGCAGTTGTAACTTGAAGTTGTATACTATTATTACTTTTGAAAGATTTGAAACAAATTTGTTAAAACGTCAAAATGATAATCACTCATTACTTATCAAATTGTTTAATATCCTTGGAACCCGTAATTTTTCATACTTATACTGTTAGATTTTTTATTAACCGAAAATTACGAACATTTATTAGTGTCAAATAACTATCAATTTAATCTGCATTACCATGCAAAATAAAAACAAAAATTTGGCGATGCATTAGCTACAAATGGTTTAGTAAATTGCATACTAACATTAACAACTAAATACAACCTGGAAAAAATGTATTGAATCACAATCATCTTCACATCAAAATAAATGTAATGGGTTAAAATACAAAATAACTAAAACTAATAATATGAATTAATATTAAAGTGGTTAAACATATGATTCGTCTAAATTACATTTACTACTAAAATATTTAGTTTCGTCAGAGCTACCAACTTTCTGGAAATAAAAAAGTAGAATACCTGAATAACAGAGAATAAGAGAATCTGCTCTAAATGAAATACAAAAAGTTTAGTTTCACTAAAAAATCTGTGGTATTATGTTACATATATTTTTTTTATTTAACCTTTATCGTGAAATATTTTACAGCGACGCACAATAATGGATGGTATTATTATACACTATAAGAATTAAGATTATAAATTAAATATTGAAATGTGAACAAAAATTGAACACAATAATCATATTACTATAAGAAAGATGATTAGTTATAGAGGATTGATGTCAACAAATATTTTATAATATAATAAATAATATTATTATCCTATTGACAATGGGTGACTGAAGGATAAATAAATTGAGAACGAGAATTTTATTTTATACTTCACCTCGGCATCTTTAGCCAAAGCGACGTGTCAGCATTTTATCAAAGAAAACGTAAGCAAATAAATAAGATAATTGATTGTTAATTAAAAGTTTTTTTGTTTAAAGCTGTTTACTATTGTAATTCGACAACGGTAAACTTTTTTTTTTTAAATATTGAAAAAAGTTTGTTAACAAATTTTAACTAATATAAATCATGATTTGACAGAAGAAAAGTTTCAAAAATATTATCTACAAAACGTTGTTATGTAGATAAAGTTGTATGACATATGCGTATATTATGTACCTACATACCTATATACATGTTATGTATTTATTAAAGTATGATAGAATATTATTTCCAATGTTTTAAATATTATTTTAACACATTATGATTAATATGCATATTTTTAGCATTATTTTTTCAACAAATATTTAACAAACATTTTGACAAAATTAATATATTTTTGCAGCGTGGGAATAAAAGTAAAGAGCGACGGCTCCGTTATGGTACACCTATGTAGATGGGTAGGAGATAGGTACCCATTCAGGATTTCTTAGTAGTCTAATTTTTAATAGTCAAAAAAATAAATGCCGTTACAAAAATAATTACTCGTACAAGACAAAAATCGTTCAGAAATAAGTACAGTACTTCTGTGTAATCGGTTACTGGATTAGCAGACAATTTATTATGTTACTTTTTTTTTTCATTAGACAAACCAACATAAAAATTAATAGCTACCCCCTCTCACTAGTTGGGCCCTAAACTCGTTGTGTGTGCGTTAAGTTGGCAACCAGCTATAATCGCCACCAACCAATAAAAAAAACGAATACCTACTCAGCTTCGCATCAAAGCCTAAAAAAACCAGGCCTGAACCCGTTTGGCGAGAATTGTTTATTTACAGACGTTTAAAACTCGAACCTTCAAACCAAACGACAATTGCTTTGCAGCAAAATTAACCGGCAATTTGTTGTGTTTGGTTTTTTTCCCACTGGCAAGTGGCACCTAAAAGAGGGTCGATTGCACTGTCCACGTAAGACGGATACGTCTGCTCGTCGTCTGATGACTAGAAATAATAAATTTCAACGAGCACTCGTAACAGCTGTGTGCGACTATCGCTAGAAGACATAGTCAAAGGTCAAGTATATAATAGTATACCGGGTACGGTCGAGGCTCAAGGCGAGCCGATTTGCATTTTGCCCGTCACACACGGTGAATTCGACACGGCGCGCCCATCGACACTCTTTAATCCGTCACCTGTTTTAAATAAATACAAACACAATCAAAGTTGAGCGAGTCAGTGACGACTTAGGTTTGTTATTTACAGGAGATTTGAAATTTTCTGAACACGTAAATTTAATTTGTTGTGAACCAATCAGAAACGTGTGGATTTCAAAACGAAACTGTTCCGAGTTTAAAAATCCTAAATGTTTGTCAATACTGTACATGTATCCATGGTAAGATCGGTTCTCGAATTTGGTTCGGTTATTTGAAACCCTTTCCAAGCCTGTTTCAAAAATAAACTCGAGAAAGTACAAAGGCGGTTCCTGCGCATGATTGCTCACAAAATTGGTATGGCTGATTAGTATACCGTATATTAGTGAGTTTGCGACTTGCGATTAAACTTAATATTCCTACGTTAGAATCAAGATGCCAATAATTAGCTGATAGGGTTTTTGTTTAAAAATTATTAAATAATATGGTGAACTGTCCAGAGGTATTGAGCGAAATCGGTCTAAAAGTACCATTTAATGCACTCTTTACAAAGCCTTTTTTGTCCCTAAAAACTCTCTAACGTATGTTCAGTTAAGTTTGCCTAATCGTCTTTTGGTTTTTTATTTTAATTTTCAATGATAATTCGCAATACTTCAATCAATTACCTTAAAATATTATTGTTTAGCTTATAGTATTACTGTGTGATTTTATTATTATTATTCTTGTTGTTTTTGTTATTATTATTTTTTCTCTGATTGTTTACTCATGTTACCCTTTGATAATACATTAAAAATAAATGAAAAATGATTACTGTGATCAAAGATGTACACACGGCAATCGATCTTGAGCTGTTTTGTACGCCTAGATTGTGTTTCGGGCAATTTTTCTAAGTCTTTTTGGGGTTCAGAGATCACAAGATGTCTGGCCTTCATTCTGTACTCGAGTTCCAAAAAAATTCAAAAAGTAGATTTTCCGGTTTCAAACGCCCTGTGTAAAGATATTCTTGATATTTTCTCGTACATCCAAAGTAAAATTGTAGGGTTTGTTTGCAAAACATTACTCGATATGAGATTAGCTATTTTAGATCTGAGGACAAAAGGAAACAATTATTAAAACGTCAATCACAAGTGTATATAATTTCACGATATAATAGAGAAGATAGATTCGTCTCGCGTTTTCCATAATGAACAAAAAAAAAAAAAAAATAATATTACAAATTATGATGTTTACATATTTTGTTGCGCATTAATATTGTCAGAAACATGTAAATTGAAATAGTATAACCGCCACTAAGGTTGTGTATCTCCATTGTTTATAGGTATTGTCATACGATACAACAATATTATCTGTCGACAAATCACAATAACCAATAGATAAGATTTAAGATAAGGCCGATTGAACCTATCTCCGGTTATACAATACAACTTTACTGTTTACTTTTTCCACGTCGTGGACCGTAATGTAACGCCTATCTAATCTCCGCTACACCTGTTTTTTTCCCATAGACTAACATGACAATAATGTTGCCGTTTGCTTGACTTAGGTCTTAGATGGTGGTTCAACGGCACCGAGGAGCAGTGTGTCTAGAAATCGGAGAAGAT